TATATATATATATATATATATATATATATATATATATATATATATATATATATATATATATATATAAAAATAAATATAGTAAGAACTTAGTACTTGACTGCATTTCACATTATTTCCATTTTTTTCAATGTCAGAATCAGAAACAGTTTGTGATGGGTAAGTTTAACACAAGACTCACACTAGTCAGAATAAATCTAAATCAGAAATTCAATTCTACCCTCAAAGACAGCTCCATGAAGTAATTGGGCTCAGATTAAGCGGCTAACTTAGTGATTCAGTGAGCTTTCTTGGCTTTATATGAGTTTGAACCCGCAAATTCTCCGCAATAAGCTAACATCCTAATCATTTAGGGTGCCTTTGATTTTCATTTCAGTTCATTCAAAATGTAATCTTAAATCGCTCACCTGCTCCCTGTTTGAGCAAATCAGTTGCTGAGCTGCTGGATGATGCTCTTTCTTTTGTTTCGTCCATAGGATCTTCAAATAAAAACACAGAGTGGATTATTGTCTATAAATAGACATCTATAGTATATCATTTTTCTGGATTGTCTAACAATCTATATTTATGTAGAACACTCATTTTCATTTCATATTTCTGGAACTGAATAAAATGGTGACAACTAAATTAATTTTAAAAGGGAATGTCTTGATTTACAATGCAGGGATCCAAAGACAGTATATTTAAATATAATTGCTATTAATTTTTTATTTTTTATTAATTTCAATTACAGTAGTAAAAATTAATACAAACTAAACTTAGAGAAATAGAAGATAATGCAAAGAAAAAATAAAAAGCACAGGAAAAAGAAAAAGAATATAATAAAGAAAAAGAAAAGAAATATAGTCACTTCCAACTTTCTTCACAAGTATATACAAATTTAATAATCCTTAACTCTCTATAAAATTAAACAATAGCTCTTTATCCCATATCAGATGCCTCATCTATAAATAAATCCATAAAACACCATCTTTTCAGTTCTGCTGTCAACAGAAAGTTTATTAATAGTTGCCAGATTATTGCAAAATATGTCTTATTTTGAGCTTTTAAAGCCAACTTTATGCTCCTTTCTTTTACTTTTAACAGTCTTAAATTTTAATTCAAACATTCCATCAAATATTGTTGCAGAATTTGATTTCTCTTCAATTCTTTATCTCATTACAAAGTTTCTTCAAGTTCTTTTTCGATGGAATGTAGGTGAAATAAGAACACATTTTCCAGTCACTCTTTTAATTTATCATTTGTACTCTTTGGATTTTTAAAAGTTCAACCAGTTTCTTTTGTACACAAAAGCATCCTTTTCCAAATCATTCTCTTGGCCTGTCATTTATGGTTCCACACTCTGTACTTTCTCTGCCTTTTTAGTTAAGATTTGTTCCGCATCTGTCATTCTTTCATTAACAACTTTTTATGGGGGAATGTAACACGGATTTCCAGGAAGGAGGAACTGCATTCCAGAGGAGCAAGAAACAAGAAAGTTTAGATTTAGTTTTGTTGCGAGAAAAAAATAATGCAGCCCCTACCTAGGCGTTCTCAGAGTGTAACATTAATAATGCAAATAGTTTGCTTTAGCTTGGCAAGATTTCTGTCTATAGATAGGGCTCAATAAAGGAAACTGTTCAGAAGAACCTCGGCAAGTCTTTCTCAGTTTTGGAGCTGAACATTTTAAACATAATCTATACAGAGAAAGAAAACTTTATTACTGACAGTGTTGATATTGTACCAATAATTTTGGACTCCATTCCTTAAAGTTATCCTTTAATATATCTGATGTTATAACTACAAAGTTTTGTATTTCCATTGTTAAGTCCCAGTATTAAATGACATCAAGAGGAAGCTTGAATGTTTTTCTCTTCTCCTTAAAATCTCTAGCACCCTCTACTGTTCAATTTCTAAAAATAATCATTTACAATTTACAGTAGAACCTCTGGTCATGACCATAATTCATTCCATATCTTTGGTCGTAACCCAATTTGGCCATGACCTGAACCTAATTTTGGAAATTTGGCTCTTACAAAAAAATGGCACAGAAGGGGAAATTGGCCGCGCAAAAAAAAAAATGTGAATTTTTTGATCGGAACGCGATTTGGTCATGGTCAGAAGCGTTTGTGACCAGAAGTTCTCCTGTATTATATTATTTTAATTTAATTTAATTTAATTATTTTATTGTTTTGTTGTGTTTTATTTTATTATTTTATTTTAATATATTTCTTAACCATCCATTTCTCTCAGAGAAGGGCTTTTACTATGACTTGCAATAGATAGGATAGCCAAAATAAATCTGTTTATATTGACTGACTCAGAGAGGACCACTGGTTTGAAAGATGAGTTAAAAAGACCATCAACATTAAATACTGAACAGCTCTCTTTCCACAGAAAGGGTGGGGAGGATACATGCCACCTATGTCCTGTTTACAATACAATCCTTTCAGCAGTTCCAAGAAGGTTCCACACACATTTGCATTATTCAGGTGGCCCTGAGAGCACAGATAAAACTTTAAGTGACTGCAATGACTCTCAAAAAAATGTTAAGTAGAAGATGACTGCAAGGAATATAAATCCTTCCATCTTCCAGAGCTGAAGAAGCTTCTTGGATGAGAAGCGAAAAGTCTTCAAGGAAAAAACAAACTCCAGCTGTTTTTTGGAAGAAGAAGAAGAAAGTACTTTACAGACAGTTCCTTAGTTTTTATTGCTTTTCTTAATTCTTCTTCATTCCCCTGATCTCTGACCTCCTCTGGAAGTCCCAAAATATCATATTTTAATGGCTCTTAAAGCCTATACGGGGTGGGGGGGAAATGTACACGAATGCCACAAAAATACCACCCAACTGTTATGGACTAAAAATATATCTGGCTTTCAATTAACTATGTGCCAGTAGAATTTGTTTACGGAAGATATGACAATTGCTAATGCTTTAATAAAATAGGGAGAGATTCTTATCTTCTCCTCCCTCATTATAAATCAGCAATTCCCAATGTAGTTCTTGCTGAGAGTGCTTGAACTTGGGGAAAGATTAACATATGGAACATTTGTGTACTCCCTTAATCATCTGATTAAAGGCTGATGTCTGTTTGAAGAAAAGGGATTTTGGGATTTCTAATTGGGTCATCTTGACCCAAGTAGGAATTTCAAAGAAGTTTTCTGTGTCACTGTATCTAGAGAAGAGATCTCCCTGCCTTTACCACAGATTAATTATATTCTTGAGCTGTAGTGCAGTGGTGAGAATTCTGTTGACTGAGACATGCTCTGTGAAACAAACTCCCAAGCGAAATGCCAAATATTTTCATTAGAAATTGAATTATTTGTCCCAACTTTCCCTCAATATGATCAGCTGCCGCAATGTTTATTTTTGTTATTTCCATTTTCCCCTGTAGGAAGTTTCACCCAGCCCTTTCCCAGAAAAATGAAATATCCTAGGAAATATTGAAAAGGCAGAATATTTCTCTGGATGTGAAAAGAAAGAAACATGTTTTAAAATACAGAATAGCTGCCTGTAGCTTCCTGCCCATCCCCACTGTTAATGGGCCATTAAGATGGCCAAGCTAGTCTCTTTACATAATAAAGACTTCTCCAGTGCAGCTCCAGGGGGATGGGAGTAAAAGCATGATAATATTGGCCCTTTACTCAATTGACCACATGGCATCTGAGAAAGTTGCCCCTGCATGGCCCCATGGGAGTCTGACAACCAACCAGAATACATTTATTACACAGGAACAGGAAACAGAGACGTGGGACTAAACAGTTAATAAAAAGCCTACAAAGCCCCTTCCTCAGCCCTTCTCTTCTTCTCCACCAACACTGAAGCATGTGATCACCTTTTCTGTTCAGGGCTCAAGCCACGTGGTCCTGTCCACCATTAAAACCATCTTTC